TCTGCCATAGACTCCTCTCCATTCCCGAGGCCGCGAGTGCCTGGTTAAGTGTCTAAAGCAATCCAGATTACTCATTCATTATCTGTTCATTCATTCGACAGTTTCTAAAAAGGAAGGCTAGAAAAATACTAGTGCTTATTAGACACTTTTTCATGTTATGTAACTAGAATACCGCTGTGGGACCACACGGAAAATTTAAATAAGAACTTCTGGAAAGGAGTCTTATAAATGACTGAAATAGTTTTCTGCAATCATCTGGAGGAGACATCCCACAAGAATTTTCTAATATTTTTCTTGATATTATACTAACAAAGCCCTAATATAAGCTATTGCCTAAGGTAATTGTATGGTAATGAACTCATTTCTGATCAGTATATTTAAGAAGGGAGGTATGTCTTGAAAGATAATATGCACTTCTCTATTAGTGTATTTTTCTTATAGTATTGAAGTACAATTTATATTCAGTAAACATAATTTATATACAGCCAAACACATTTATAAGTATTTTTATACACCATAAATTGCACAAATGTTAAGTGCACAGTTAATTAAATTTTATACATCTCTATGCCACTTGGTCATATATGTAACCATTACCCAGATTAAGACGTAAGACATTTGCCCAAAAAGTTTCCTCATGCTTGGAAGCTCCTAGACCGTCCAGGTAACCACTGTCTTGATTTCTATCACTATAAATCAGTGCTGCCTGTTTTTAAACTTCATAAATGAAATACAGTATATCTTTTTATGTCTGGCTTCTTTATCTCAACATAATATTTCGGAGATTTATCCATGTTTGTGTGTATCAATAATTAACTTATTTTTAAATGCCTCAATAGTATGCCAATGAATCTGTTTATCTCTTTTCTTATTGAACTTTTCCCAGCTTTTAGCTATTATAAATAGAACTGATATGAAGATTTCTTATGCTTAGAAGAAATGAGCTAACAAGTCATGAAAAGACATGGAGGAAACCTAAATGCATATTATTAATTGAAAGAAACATATCTGAGAAGGCTACACACTGTAGGAGTCCAACAACATGCCATTTTAGAAAAGGTAAAACTAAGGAGACAATGAAAAAAATCAGTGGCTGCCAAGGGCTTGGTGGGCAGTGGGAGAGATGAACTGGTGGATCACAGAAGATGTTTAGGGCAGTGAGAATCCTCTGCATGGATGGATATGTGCCATCAGACATTTGTCCAAACCCATAGAATGCACAACACAAGGAGTAAACCCTGAGGTAAATGATGGACTTGTGTTGACTATGATGTGTCAACACAGGTTCATCCTTGGTAAAAAATGTACCATTCTGGTGAGTGATGTTGATAACAAGAGGGTACGTATGTGTAAAGCCGGGGGTATACAGGTAAACTCTGTACCTTCCTCTCACTTACTGTAAACTTAAAACTGCCTTTAAAAGTAAAGGTTTTTAAAAGTTAAAAAAAAAAGATCTCTTGGACATGCTTTTTGATGGGCATATGGCTTTCCTTATCTTGGGTACATAGCTAGCAGGTTCCTGCCAAAGTTAGCAGGGCTTACAGAGTGCTTGACAGACAACTGGAATCAGGCAGTCAGGGATGGTGAGCTCCGGGAGCCTGGATCCTCCCTGGGGTCCACATGGGCAGGTCTGATCCCCAGCAGAAGACATGGCGGCCTGCAGCTGCGGAGCCCGGAGCTGAGCAAGTGCAAGCAAGGTCGGGGGCCCACCCCTCCTTCTGCAGGCCGCACACCCCGTCCTCACCCAGCTGGCCCACCCTGGCACGAGGCCACCTCAGCAGCAGTGTATTTTAATCACAGGACTTTGCATTACACCAAGGGTCAACGAGACTTCTCATTTTATTAACGTCAAGGAAACGTAAAAATCATCTAATCCAATTCCTCCTCTACTCCTTGAGAGATGTATTTTCCATTGATGCCTGAACACCTCCTGGGACAGAAAAGTCCCTACTTGTGGGAGAGCCCATTCTGCCAGGAGGCAATGTAATAAACTATGGACTTCGGAATTAAGCACACTTAGATCTGAATCCACGCTCTAACACTCACTAGCTGTGTGACCTTGGGCAATTTCTTTAACCTTTCTGATCTTTGGGGTTTCTCCTCTGAAACCAAGGGCTGAGAGTAGAATTCAATCTATAAGGATGCTGCAAGGATTAAAAAGACTATAACTAAATGTAAAGCATTTAGGACAGAGCTTGGCACACAATAAATGATGTGCCAAGTACCTATTTGGGGGCAGTTTTGACCTTTAAAAAACTCATTTATACAATTTGGATCAAAACTCCTATACTGGAAGTGACATCAAATAAACTCTTTTTAGTTTCCCGTGGGAGGGACAGCATCAGATAGTGTCACATGATTGGGAAATTTGTCTGAGGAAGGGTAAACAGGTCAGGTTAGCAGAAGCATAAAATATACTGACAAATAATGGGACATGAGGCTGGGAAAACATATGGACCAACATGAGAGAAGTGAATGACCATCACGGGGCAGCTTGGAGCACTTCTGGCAAAGTCTACAACAGAGGGCGCTTTAAGTTGATCAAGGTCAAGCTTGCAAAACTGAACTGGAAAAGAGTCAGACAGATATGAGGAGACAAAGCTGGGGACTGTTTTAGGACCTGAGTCAACAAGTAACAAGAACTGAACCAGAATAGTGTCACAGGAAGGATAAGAAATGATAAATCAGAGACAAGCGGGCAAATCCTGCAGATTCCACCTCTGCAATGTCCCTTCCACTCATGGATCAGTCCCACTCCTACTGACACCCCTCTGTTTAGCCATCATGTATATAACTACAGTTAACTGTAACAGGTCTCTCCAAATGGCACCCAGGAAGGAATATATATTCCTGAAACACATGTCAGTGTTTAAAGATTCAGCCTACGGATTTTACATTTTTATGAACACTTAGAAATTGAAAACCTTTTCCATATTAAACTATTAATATCCTCTAAATGGGTTTTGCACATACCAGAATAATGAACGAGTCATTTACCCTATTTAAGTTTAGAGTGGAACCAAAATCTACACCTACGCCAATAATTGTGGGCAACACAATTACTTTTCAAAAGATGTAGCAAAAATTCAACAGTATGAACCTAACTTTTAACAAATGAAAAGTAAAAATACATTCTTCCATGCCCTAATATAGAAATTTTATTTTCTTCTTTAACCCTTACTATATATTTACTCCATACAAAAGTCAAGTTTATTGACCAATAAAAAATGAAGTCACTCACAGAGACTTTTAGAAATTAAAATCTACATGAAAATTAAGTCTCCAGTGCTTTTGTAAAGTGAAAAATAACTGTTGTTGATAACCATAAGTATTCTGGGGGAAAAAAATCATTCATACTATTATCTTTCCCTCAAAGATGACTGATTCTAGGAGTTAGTTTATATATAAAATATTAGAGTGAGATACAGAAAAACAAAAACATGGCCACACACCAAGGAAGATGAGAATATTTAGTTTGGAAATAATTACACAAACACACGCATGCACACACTTAAGACAAAAACACACTTCCCTCTAGGATTGGGTCCCTGCCCTCAGGAACATTTTTGGCGTGGCTCTATTATTTGTTTTCCAGCTTGGAAAAACACTGAAGTAGAGCAATCTTAATAAAACAAACTGAAAAGCGGGTAACTAAGAGGATCAGATTCTGAAGTCGTCTCCAATGTCCAGCCCAGTGTTTCCTCAACTGTGTCCCCACTGAAGAATACTAATAGCTATTCCATGAAAAGAATGTCAAATAAGTCTGGAAACGCTGGACACGTCATATTCCTCTTTTGAAGGCCCACCGTTTAAATGACTGTACGAAATGTTCGGGGAAGTTCCTACCTAGTTCATTTCGTTTAACTCATTGCTTTGTAATCATGCAACACTACTCCTTTCCATCTTTTTCTTTAAGTACCCCTATGAACAGCGCTCAGAATAATGGTTCTGTCTGGCTTTAGACCAACCTTTACACCAATGTGAAATTCCCTTTGAGTTGGGGGTAGTTCATAAATCACAGGTGTATGTTTTCTTAAAAAACAAAAATCTCAGCAGTGGGTACCCTTACACAATAGTATTAAACTTTTGAGCATTCTCAAAAGTTCAATACTATTTAAAACTTAAACCCCTAGGTAAAGGGGGAGAGAATATTCTACATGGCCACCACATTTAAGAAAACATGGTATCCGTCCTACTCACTGAGGCCATTTCTCTTTTATTAATCATCTTGCTTCAGTGCCCCAGTAATATATGAATCACTGAGACATGACATATGTGCAATTATTCTGTCTAAATAGATTAGTAGATATGCTAAGAGTATCAATCACGACTTCCTTGGAATCACTTGTAGCCAGGGTATATGATGTAAGCACATGGAGAAGGTCATACACAGAATCCTGAAAAAGGGGGGGAAAAAAAACAGAGGAAGAAACCACCAAATAAGACAAAGTCTCTGGGTAATGTTCACCCTCCTCCAAAATCAACGGGACTACAGAATGGTATGTGTTGCTCACAGGAGAAGCTACGGCCTTTAGAAACGATTAAGGTATGAGAAGCAAAGGAGAAATGTGTCTGTCCAAGGAAATTTAATTTCATTCATCTGGTATCCCTTCCGTAAAATAGTTTCATAAATTTTCCTCTCATTCTTTGAAACAAATTCCACTGAATCCAATTTAAAATTTTAAAGTAGTTCCAGGGACAAATCCAAGAAACACAACACAATTCAAAAAGGAAATGTAAAACCAATTTCGTAACCAAGTGTGAGTATGCAGACTTTTATTTTTCAGTATTAACCACAATAAATCCACTGCACACTCTAAGCGCAGGGAACAGCCACCACAGTAAAAAGAAAAGTGCTCACAACAAGGTATCTTAGATGCCTGGCTTGAACTCTTTTCTGAAATGAGGCCACAATCTGGATTTGAAAGCGTACATTTTTTTTTCCTAACAATTTTCATTTGGCCCAATTCAACCCAAGTGCAAATGTAAAATTCACTTACCTGCACAAAACCGCATGCCACGAAGTCCTCAAACAAGGGCAGACTTGGACGGTCTTCTCTATAGATGGTGAGTTTGTACGTGATCAGGATCTCACCCTGGGCTGGAGATTCATCCACCACAAGCACTGAGATTTTGTTCATTCCTAAGCCCAGAGGGTAGTTGGCAAAGCTGGGGGGAGAGAGGGAGAAATAGCCCAAACAGATTAATACTTGTCAAATATTTGTCAAATGCCTACAATTTGCATAAAAAAGCAGGTAAGGTCTAAAATTTCATGAGAAGCTTAACATGTGGGGAAAAAAAGTGTTAATTTGTGTTTCATTGTACTCTGCTGTGCCAAGAGTCATCCTGAAGAGCAAGCCGTGTCCCCAGCCAATTACAGGGAAGGGAACTAACATTTATTAACCACCTGTCAGGCTTACGCATTACTTCATTTAATACAACAATTTTATACGAAAACTGTGATGGTCCCCATTTTAAATATAAAGAGCATGACACACAACTTGGAAACAAATTGCCCAAAATCATATGGTAGAGTCAGGGTTGGGACCCAGGTTGGCCTGGCTTAAGCCCTCTTTTCTTTCTTCTGTACTCTCTTAGCTCCCCGGAGCGCCAAGTGTATCTCTTCGCTCACAGCATTGGAACACAAGTTCCCTTGCCATGGACACACCGTGTATTGAGGTTCTATCTTCTATTCAAAATGGTAAACAAAAGAGTTGATGACTCTCAAAAGAGTTAGTAGAAAAAAAATCCCACAAGACTAGGAAAGTTAGTGTTACCATGTCCACAAATTGTCACCAATATTTTTATTAAGTAATCAACACCTGAATATTGAAACACTTGGGCATATGGGTGGGAGTAGGAGGAGGCAGCTGTCCAGAAGAATTAACTCTTCAACAATCTAAAACCAGGAAGACAACAATAAACGAAAATTGTCCTTTACGAGTCCTCTGTAATATTTCCTACCATAACATCCTCTCTTGTTATAACATTGTTACAAAGATTAGACACAAAGATTGTGAATAGATCAGTAGAGTACTTCTGTGTTCTTTTTAACCACACAGCATCTGAAAAGCAGAAGGATTTCACACCCTGGCAACCCCTCCAGCTGATCTGGTGCCTCGGGTTTTCTGAACCACCTTCAAAGGTTGCTTCCAGTGTCTGTTTCCCTGCCAGCATCCTCATACCTCAGTCCTGCCCGTTCATGCAGGTACACCTTGCACTGACACTTAGAAGTCTCCACTCCAATTGTCAGTGTTACCACATCAAATGGGACTTCAGAGTAATAATTTTTGATCTTAGGGTTAAATTCAGGATTTAGTTCCAAACGCGGATGTGTGAAGATCTCCTTGATATGACATTGTGTATCTTTATCTGTTTAAAAAAAGAAAAGAAAAGAAAAACAAAGGTAAAACACAACTGTGAAATGAATAAATGTTTAAAAATAATACATGACTAAAGTTTTAAGAAATTCTTTTGAATAACTTTTATGACCGTTGCTGATTTTCCATTCTGCACTCTGGTCATTATTTATGGCTTCAGCTGGATTTTCTATTTGTCAAATTTTGTAGACTTTGCTCATATAACAGTTGTTGATTTTAGTTGGTGTTATACAAATGATCTTTTTTGCTCAGGCTTTTAAAGTTTAAAGGCATAGGAGGTCAGAAAATCTCTCTCCAGTGGATTGGTAACATTTTCATAGCATTTACTGCATATATCAAGCAACTGTGTGACTGAAGGAGATGACTCTGTGGGGTGGTGACAGAGGGTACCAGCAGGGAATAAAGAAATTTTCTTAATGGAGAGTGTCATTAAACTACCATTGGATTGCTATGTAGCTTACAGGCAGTAGGGTGGAGCAAAGAATGGGAAATCTAATATTATACCAAACACTCAGATACAAAAACATCAACAGGGCATTGTGAGACCCCCTTCCATATCTTAGCCACCTCACCCTAAGGAAGTACCCTAAAACTAGAAGAAGGAAATGCTATATCCTGCTCAATACTATTATAGAACCTAGAATATTATTTCACATCATTGATTCTACTACACCAAAAAAAAAAAAAACCCAGTTTCTGTTTGGTAGCACAATTTTTACAAAAGTATCTTGGTGAGCAAAAAAGGAAAAACATATTCATAAGCACATGGACTAGCCACTACTAAATTATATTATGTTCATATTTGAAATAAACAAGCTACTCAAAAGCAAATGTTCTGAAAGAACTATTAACAAGTATTTTGTGCCAGAAATACTTCTCAATAGTCAACAAAATTCCAGTAAAGATAAACATAGAAAATTCTCTAGAAACCAGTAAAATGAAAGCATTTTCTGTTGCCTTTAAATAAAGTGGCCAGTGATGTTTAACAACACAGCCACCATAAAACTAACATTGTATTTGCCTCAGGAAGCTATACAACTGAAATTAAAGGAAGTAGATTGTCCTGCTAGCTGTGGTCCCTTCCTCTATCATTTGACAGCTATCACAGTGACTTTTCTAAACTCAAATCTAATGATTTGGCTTCCATTCTTTAATGATTTCTCATCCACGAGAATCCAGGCCATGCTCCCAATAAAGCAGGCAAGACATTACATAATCTATCCCTTAGCTTCTCCTTTACATCTCTCATCACATTCTGGAGTTTGTGATTCAACAATATTAAACTTTTTATATTTCTTGGACAGACATGGAGATGCACCACCAGATCCACAGCAACGAATATCACCAACCTGACAGATTTTTTATTCCAGTTCTGAGAATTAGGTCTCGCTTTAACTCCCATTATGCTCTAAAAAGATGAAAGTGAACAAACGTGCATTTCTAACCCATAGTCTATGGCTTCCTCAGCCAGTGGAAGAAAAGACTATGCAGGTACAAATTAGGAACAATAATAATACAACACACAGATTGTAATTTCATTGTAGGGAAAAGACAATGAAAAAATAAACAACTAGTCAATCGGGTTGAATAACTCAGTGAATTGGGTAAACTACCTGCTTGATTGATTCTACTTGTTACCAAAGATTTTATCTGGCTGATAGATGTAAGTGGACTGCATATATAATTTCAATGATCCTACCAGCTTCTAAAATTTTTTATAACAGAAGAGAAAAAAGTTAAAAATAAAGGTAGATTGTTATTAGATTTCAACTTGAAAAGGATCATAGCTTTTCATTTGAATTTGACCACTTATTAATAATACTTTCTTTTTTTCATGAAAGATTTTTTTTTTCTGGCATAGTCTGTGTTCAAGACACCCAGATAAGCACAGGAAAATCAGGCTGTTATTGGTCATGAGCTCTGATTCAAATGGAGGCTGTGAATCCAACCTAACACTTTGAATCAGCGGAGTCCCGATATATGGAACGTGCTTTCAAGCGGACCATTTCCTACGCAGAAAGGGAATATAAATACTTGAGCCACGGTTAGATGAATAATAGAGTGTAAGTTTTTTTTCAAAAGAGTAATCATAGCAAATGTACTTGAACTTAGCATATCTTTATAAAACAGTCACTGAGAGTCCATTTCCCTGCAGTTTAAACTTTCACTTAACAGTGAAAAATTTTCAATGGAGCTTGCCCGTTACAACACTGAAACTCAGCTCTAAATGAGACTAAATGTGTAATCATTCTCTCCAGCAAGATTTTCGCCAGTGCTTGGTTTTGGTTTCATCAGAAAATCTTCACCTCCGGCTTCAGCACTGCATCCTAGACCCCTGCTTGAAAGCTGATTTAGTCCTGACATCATCTTCAACTGAATCATCAGTGTTGCTGCCTGCAAACACCTGATGTTTCGTTGGCATCCTTCCCAATCCAGTCCCAACTTGTCTCAGGCCAGTGTACCTTACGTCTGTGGAGAATCCAGTGCGAGGTAAGGTGGTAGCAGGCTGCTTATCGCACTTGGCAAGTATATGTGAGAAAGCTGTCTGCAGTTCTGGTTGCTTTTAATGGGTTTCTTTTAACCGCAGAATTTTGTTGCCCTCTTGAGGGATAATCATAACTCACATTAAACACAAAAACAGCCTAGACGCTGAACAGTAATCCCACCTGTTCTCAGGCACCATCAAGTTATTTTTAAAATCTTATATCATACCATCAAAGTTGGAAGATTAATTATGAAGACCCAGGTAGGACTAGTTTTTATCAACATAAAAATATGAACAAAGTTGAAGCTTATCTACCATGTTCACATCCGCTACCCTATGTTACCTGGGAACTGAAAAAAAATGAGATTATCTCATACAGTTTTTTCATTTTATAAATGAGAAAACAGAAGAACTGAGTATGACATATTTTCCTGGGGTGGGAGATTAGATGGTAACTGTAGAGAGGGAATGGTGTGGGCAGTATCTGTTACTGTTTCCCGATGAGCAAAAGAAAATGCTATTTTTGTTAATTGGATGTATTTGTTGATTCTGTTCAATCACATTATTGTATCACCTCTCAGCCTCTGCTGATTTTAAAGACAGTGTTAAAACAGATTGAATGAATTAAATTGCATTTTAGAAGAGACAGATTGGATTTATTAAATTGGGAGACTTTTATTCATAATAAATTAGACCTTAGTCCATAAATTTTATTTTTTCAGGTTTAATGTTTTATCAGAATAGATTTTTGTGTGAAAGGCTAAATTTTCTGGGTATGTTTTAGCACCAATTATATATAAATATATATATACACACATATATATGTTAAAAAGGTATACATGGTCAAAAGACAAACCTGATAAGTAGAACTCTTATTTTTCCATTATTAAGGTAATTCATGAACTGTGGACAAAGAATCTGAAGACCCAGCTTCATGATCCAGCGTATGCATTTCACAGCACTGTGATCTTGGAAAAGTCAGTGAGAGTCCCTAGAATGATATATTTGCAAGACCACTGGAATAATACTGACCAGACAGTGGGAAGAAAATTACTTAAAAATTTAAAAATCTATATGGCACTTAAAATGTATTACTATTATATATGTGTGTGTATATATATATTTTATTGATTATACCTTGGTAAAAAATTCATGAATTTTTAAAAAGTAATTGAAACTTGGCTTAAAAACTCTCAACTGTTATAAAGAAAACTCAACTCAGGTACTATCCATTATGTCAACCATCTGGCAGAAAAGAACCACTGTTAGGTGGTAAAAAGCCCTAAAAATCAACATACAAAGCGGATGCCAAGCACTTCCATTTGAGCACTCCCAAGGCAAAGCATTAGCACCACTGGGGGTCCCTCAAAATGAGCTTGGAAGTTCCTGACTTTAAACAAGCAAACACACAAACATAATATTTCACTTTCAAAATAGAAAATTAAAAATCTTCTTATGCAACAGTGATAAATATTAATTCACTGAGAAATCTCGTAACTTCTGAAAATGTACGTAAAATACATCAGCAGCCTAAAAATCTCCAAATATGATAAAATGATGATTTATTCAGAACAGGGCAGTGCTTAACTGTTGATTATGATTCTGAAATGCTTTCATTGGAACTCACCATTACTGCAATGTATTTCTTTGGTTGCATTCATAATTTGTGGAACCGCAGCTACAAAAAGAAATGTACATTTAAAATGGAAGCTATTAATCAAAATAAAAAGGATACTTATTCAGTATTCTGAAACAGAGGATGATTTAATAAGCACAGATTTTATTATTTAAATTTTATTACATCAAAAGGCACTTATAAGTTAAACTGAAAGCTACTGTAAGATGAAGTTATTTGGTTCAAATTGCAGAAAAATGATTATTTCAAATAAGAAAATGTTAAGGGAGAAAAATGAATGGTCTAAATGTCATCCATTGCCTAAAGGTGATACATCAAAATTCCTCCAGTTCTGTGATCTTGTGACTATAATTTCCTAAATCATTGGAATTACATAGATTCCATCCAGTCCGTTCCACTGGTATTTAACTTTCTGGATTTATCTAAATTTATCTAAATTTATCTAAAAAATTCCTTAATAAATATTGATGGGACAAATGAATGAATTAAAACATTCAAGAATGCTTCAAGCAATCATTTAGAAAGAAAAAAAATGATAGGAGAGAGAAAGACAATCAGATGAACAGTTTAAAATCAGTTCTTCACTGAGTGTACTGATTTATTTTACTAAATCAGTGGTCCTCAAATTTTAACGTGTCTTAGAATCATCTGGAGGACTTGTTAAAACACAGAATACTGGGTTGTATGTATACCACGGGATTCCGATGCAGCAGATCTGAATTTCCCAAGCTCCCTAGATGAGGATGATGCTGTCGGCCTAGGGGCCACACACCGAGAACCACTGTACTGGACTCAGCCTTGATTTGTAATAGGAAACTTGGATTTTTTTAAAAAACTGTAGACACATGCTAACTCCTTTTTATTTTTTTTCATCTTAAAATTAAAGACATTTTTCTCTTTGTGTGGCAAAAAGCTCAGATGTTCTTTAGGGGGAAAAAAATTAGAAAATAAGAGATAAGCCTAAGAGAGAAAATCAAAGCCACCATTAATTTTCCTGGAGGTCCCTGTTGCTTATAGCCAATGGTTTCATTTAACGATATAGCATACACAACTTTCATGTCCCAAATATTTTCCCATAATATTAGAATGCCTTTATAGTATTTTGTTGGATGACTATAGCTTAGTTCAGTCCGCTATCATGGCAATAATAGTAGTTTCTGATTGTTTTCATTTATTAATAATTTATTTAATCACATTTTTGTGTACATTTTTAATTATTTCCTCAAAGATGAATATCTGGAAGTGAAATTTCTGGTATGTAAGAATATCTTTTAAAGCCTTTCTTACATGTTAAATGGCCCCTTAAGTTCCAATTTATACCCCCGCCAGCAACATGAGAACACTCATTTTCCTACATTCGCCCCAACTCTATTATCTTTAAGAGGAAAAAAATCTTTCCAAATTTGAGGGAAAATAGCACTTTCCAGTTTAATTTTCGTATTTGATTGCTAATGAAGCTAAACATTTTTAATGTTTTTTTGGTCACGCAAAATTTACTTTCATGTAGAAGTAAGTAGGACTACATCCTTTACCTTTTTTCTTTTCAACTGCATCAAATGGCACTTGTGGTTTTTTAAGGTTCTCATCGTCTGCGAAGGAGTTCCTGCAAATGCAATGTCAGACGGCGCTGGATCAGTGAGCTGAACAAAATTCATGGAAATTACATCGAACACACTATCTTTTATCCTGTGTGAGCACAGTTATTTTGATGGACACCAAGAAAAACCTTTCTGGATTTCATTCCTCAAAGCTGGCAATCTTGCCTCAAGCGAGGTGACTGGAAATCTCATCATCTCTAATCAGCAGAAGCACATTTGAAGAAAACCAGGGCAAAATGTCACTCTTCAGGCCAAAAGTGAACAGACTCTGATAGCCTAGGTCCAACAGAAACGATTCAGGAACACACACTCTTATTGGAGTTGTTTGGCTAAAATTACAAAGTCTTGAAGCAGGAAGCCTTGGAAACTCTGAGGCACAGACTGAGAAGAACATACATACAATCTGAGAAATTCAA